GGGCATGCTTGTAGTATATACTCTTTGGATGGTTGATGATGCATGGAGGAGATTGTAACCATAGCAATGAAATGATATACTATAGGATGAATGTAAAACTAATGTTCTCCTGTGTAAACTATCTCATAATTCACAATAAAACATTAAGGAAAAAAAACAAAAGACAACAAAATGCTGCTTAGACGTAAAGATGACGAATTTCATCTCATGTACTTTGGACAAGTTATCAGGAGGGACGAATAACCTGGGAAATGGCATCTTGATTGGTAAAGTTTAAGGTCAACAAAAAAGAAGACTCACTATGCCATGGATCAAGAAAGCTAAGTGACTTTGGACAGGAGGCTTGCTGGTGGAATAATTAGCTCTGAACACTTATTGGCAGAGCTAAAAGAGCTTTATAATTTTATAACATTTGCTCTAGCAAGGCAAGGACCAGGCTAAGGGACCTAGGGCCAGAGAGAAGCGAGCTTTCTGACAAAGCTGAGGAGAAGCTGTCTTAATTGAAGAACTGTGTGCTGAACCTTCTTGATAAACCCTACAACTTTGAATATGGTCTGAAGTTCTTTGTGGCCATTGCAGTAAATTATAAAACCCAGCAGAGAAGTAGAGAATGTCATGGGAGGGATGGTTTGTGTCAGAATTGGTAAAAAGTTTAGAGAGTGGAGGGGCATGTCTGAACTCTGCCTCATAGGCCTTGGACTGATGCAAATGATAATTCTTTCTTCCTCTTGTGTAGTTACAGTAAATCAGAAAATGACACCCCACGTAGTGGGGATAGCCTTCACTTAACCAATCCCTGTTTAGGCCTTGGAGTTGTTGACAGTTTTTCATGATAAAGTCGGTACTTTATAATGAAAGAACAGATACATAAGTCTTTGCGTGCATCATGATCTTCCCTTTAGAAAGAGACTCTTTGAAGTGAAATTCCTAAGTTGAAGCATTATGAAGAGCTTTGTGCACACAGTTTAGTATGAGCAGTTTAATATGCATACCAGAAATTATCAGTCTGTAGCATCAGAAATTTACAAAACAGCTGTATTGTACAAGAGGACTTCAAAAAGTCCATGGAAAAATACCATTATCTTTAAATTCCTTTTTTTCTACAAACTTTTTAAAGCCCCCTTGTATATACTTGTGTGCACTATCTTTTCATCTTTACAAATTTGATGGTTAAAAAGAGCATCTCATATTGTTTTGGTTTTTTGTTGTTGTTATTACTGAGGTCGAATATTTTCTCCTTTTAGTGGGACAATATTTGTATTGCCAGCCTCATTCTTTCTACCTAACTTATAGCAGCACTTCATTGTGCATGAAAGAAGTAACCGATGAGTATATGAGGGTAAGTAAAAAGTATTGCTATAAAATATAAAACATCTTTACCAATCAAAAGTATCAATTCTGAAGCTATTGTTTCTGGACATCTCCATCGAGGTCTGTACACTTCAGAAACCCTTCCCTGAAGAATTCTATGCTTTTCAATTTCGCCACGCCAAAATGGCAGTTTGGGCACCCTTAAGGAAATGAAATCATGTTCCTTTTAAATGTTCTGTGAGTTTGGGGAGCAAACAGAAATATGAAGGGGTAAGATAAGACCTGTTGGGTAGATGGAGTAAGGTTTACCATCGAAATTCTTGTAGGACAGCCCTTGCTACCTCAAAGAATGAGCAGTTATATTGTCCTGATGGAAAAACATTCCTTAGCACAACTTTCCTGGCCTTTTTCTCACCAGGGCAGTTTTTGATTTACTTAAAACATCTTAATAAGCTCCTGAGATTATCCTGTGTGTTTTTTTTGAGAAAATGTATTAAGATTACCACTTGGGAATCCAAAGCAATAGTCTCCATAACTTTCTGAGCTGACCTGTTTGTTTCCAACCTCTGCATTCCAATCACCAGTAATTATCAATACATCTTGATTGAACGTTTGATCCATTTCAGACTGAAAAAGTAGAATTCTTCAGTTTTATCATGACTGGCTTTAGTTGTAATAATACTTGTATTAACTGATCTTCCTTGTAGGTGTATAGATATCCTATCACAGACAGCGTTGTACTTCAAGACCAATCTAAATATGTTCTTTTTGATAATGAAGGCAACACCATTCCTCTTCAATTTATCATTCCCGGCATAGTAAATCATGTGATTGTCAAATTTAAAATGGCCAATACCGGGCCATTTCAGCTCACTAAAGCTTAGGATATCAATGTTTATTCATTCCATTTCATCTTTGACAGCATCCAATTTTCCTAGATTCATACTTTGCACATTCCATGCTCTGATTATTAATGGATTATTACAGCTGTTTCTCCTCATTTGACTTGTGCCCCATCAGCAAATGATAGTTCTGAAAGCTTTACTCCATTTGTATCATTACAGTCAACTCTATTTTGAGGGCCTTCCAACATGGTGGCTCTTCTTCCCGCACTATAACTGACAATATGCTAGTGATTTTCATCATGTTTCAATATTCCATATTCTTGTGCTGACAGTGTTCCAGTGCTATTCATAAAGTTTTCAGTGACCAGATATTTGGAAGTATTCTTAGTCTGGGAGCTCATCTAAAACCTGTCTGCTGTGGGTGACCCTGCTGGTATTTAAAATACCGATGGCAAAGCTTCCAGAATCACAGTAACAGGCAAGCCACCACAGTACGACAAACTGACAGATGAATGGTTTGTGGAGGATGCTTGGTAGATGGTGAGCGAAAAAGAGGAAGACCCTGAATGAAATGGATTGGCACCATGCTTTCAGTAATGGACTCAGCAACGCAATGATTGTGAGGATAAAATGGCACAGAACCTGGCAGTGATTTCTTTTGTGGTACACAGGGTCACTATATGTGGGAACTGAGTGGACAGTATTTAACAACAAAGATCAAGGAGCTATTGGGAATTAGGGTCAAACTGGAGCCCAGCTATACAAACCTCAACCTGCTCTGAAAACTCTCTGTGTATCCATTAGCTCTAGGAATTAGGGCTTGGTGAATGAGGGATTGGATTGGTAAAGGAAGGATTAGGGATGTATTTCTCCATTGACCTGAATGACAACAACCTGGAATGCTCTTTTAAAATCAGATTTCTGGGGCAGCCAGAAAAAGTTCTCAGCAAACTTTGTACCCCTATTTCCAGACCTTGTACCTTTAAACCATCTCTATTTCGACATACACCACACTGGATTGCAGGATTAGTAATTAACTCAATAGTTTAGCTAACAATTTTTTTTGCCCTTCAGATCATTGGTTAATTTGCACACACTCCAGGACGTTTCACATAGCGGTTTAGAGAGCATTTCCGCGCCCAACCATTGGCAGCAGTGCGAACGGTCCCACCAGCAACTGCTTCCCAAAGAGAAAGTCGCCAGGCCGGACCTGTGACGCCTTAGGACCGTGATGGCGGCGACTGTGATCCTGGAGCCCAGGGTCCGCAATTGCTGGGACGAGCCGATGCGCATCGTGGTGCGCGGCCTGGCCCAGGCACAGCCGGTCACACTGCGCTTGTCCCTGCAGGACGAGAAGGGCGCGCTCTTCCGGGCCCACGCGCGCTACTACGCGGACAGCGGCGGCGAGTTGGACCTGGAGCGCGCGCCCGCGCTGGGCGGTAGCTTCGTGGGGCTCGAGCCCATGGGTCTCTTCTGGGCCTTGGAGTCCGAGAAGCCCTGGCTGCAGCTCGTGAAACGGGACGTGCGAACGCCCTTTGCGGTGGAGTTGGAGGTGCTCGAGGGCCACGAGCCCGAGCCGCAGCGGGTCCTGGGCCGCGCCGTGCACCAGCGTGTCTTCATGCGGCCTGGGGTGCGGAGAGAGCAGGTGCGCGCGGACCGGTTGCGCGCCACGCTCTTCCTGCCGCCAGGTGAGAGATCTCTTTCCTACCAAGCTGTTCTTGAGAGCTAAAACCCGCAGTGACTTTCTACCAGACAAGGGGACTGGTTGTTGTTATGTGCGGTGGAGTCGGTTCCGAGTCATAGCGACCCTGTACAGGGTTTCCAAGGAGCAACTGGTGAGCTTGAACCGCCAACCTTGCAGTTCAAACTGCTTTGCAGTCTGGCGCATTAACCCACAGAGCCACATTAGGACTCCATACAGAGGGACTACTGAGTGTGAAAATCCCCAAGCTCATCCCTGTGCTCCAGATCTGTCATGATCTGTCATGGATTCTGGATGGAAGTTTTTCTGAAGTCTCACAGCACTTGCTAGAGGCGCTTTCTTGTTGAGTACCGGGGAGTTCCTACCGGTTCTGACTCATCGGGGCCCTGCATAGGGTCTGTTAGAAGTGACTGGTGGGTTTGAACCGCTGACCTTGTGGTTAGCAGTCCAGAGTTGATCCTACAGTGCACAGTCAGCCCCTAAAGAGTACATGCAACATGTGTTTATTGAGCAGCTACTATCTGCCAGTCAAAAGGCTGTGTTTCAAGTACTGAGTTAAACAGCAGGTTCTGCCTATCTGTAAGCATGATGTGCAGCCTCCTTTTATCACACTTACAAGGCCGCCACTCACAGGTAAAGTCTGTTGTTGTTTGTCATGAAGTCGGCTCCAATGGCAATCTTGTGTATAATTGTTGCCAAATTCTGTGACATCTTCATGAGGGTTGGCGTGTGTGAGTCCATTAAAAAAATCCAAAACCCATGGTCATCAAGTGGATGCTGAATCATAGTGACCCTTTCTTGTTGTTAGTGCCTTGGAGTCAGTTCCTACGGATAGAGACCCTGTACAGGATTTCCTATCCTGCAAATCATTGGGACACCAGAAAGCCTCATCTTTCTCACACAGAGGGACCTGGTGGGCAGTGGGCTCAAATTGCTGACTTTCTACTTATCTATCGTATGGAGCCACCGTACTCCCATAGTGATCTTTTGTTGTTGTTGTTAGGTGCCATCGAGTCAGTACCGACCCATAGAGACCTTTATGCACAGCAGAATCAAACACTGCCTGGTCCTGGGCCAACTTCACTATTGTTGCTACGCTTGAGACCATTGATGCTGCCACTTGGCCAATTCATCTTGCTGGAGGTCTTCCTCTTTTTCTCTGACCCTCCACCTTACCAAACATGATATCCTTCTCCAGCGACTGTTCCCTCCTGACAATATGTCAGAAGTATGAGAGACGACGTTTGGCCATCTTGGCCTCCCAGGAGCACTCTGGCTGCACTTCTTCCAACACAGATCTGTTTGTTCTTTTGGCAATCCATGGTACTTTCAGTATTCTCCTCCAACACCACAAAAATGCATCAGTTCTTCTAAGATCTTCCTTATTCACTGTCCACCTTTTGCATGCTTTTTAGGTTATTGAAAATACCATGGTTTGAGTCAGACACACCTTAGTCCTCAAGCTGATGTCTTTGCTCTTCAACACTCTAAAAAGGTCTTGTGCAGCAGATTTGCCTAATGCAACACACCATGTGATTTCCTGACTGCTGCTTCCATGAGTGTTGACAGTTGATCCAAGAATGAAGTCCTTGACAACTTCAATCTTTTTTCCATTGATAAGAATGTTGTTTATTGGTTCAGTGGTGAGGATTTTTGTTTTCTTTACAATGAGACGCAATCCATACCAAGGCTGTGCTCTTTGATCTTCATCAGTAAATGTTTTTAAGTCCTCTTCACTTTCCGCAAGCAAGGTTATATCATCTGCATATCGCAAGTTGTTAACGAGTCTTCCTCCAATCCTGATGCCATATTTTGCTTCATATAATCCAGCTTCTTGGATTATCTGTTTAGTGACCCTTTAGGACAAAGTAAAACTGTCCTATAGGGTTTCCAAGGAGTCCTTGTGTGACGCTGTGGGATAATGCACTGGACCACAAGGTCGGTTTGAACTGCAAGGTCTGCAGTTGAAATTCACTAGCCAATCCTCGGAAATCCTATGCGGTGTCACTATGAGCTGGAACCGACTAGAGGCACTTAAAAACAAGTAGCTGACTGTCACATCTTTCTCCTGCAAATTGGCTGCTGCATTTGAACTGCCTGTCTTTCTTTTTGCAACCAATCACTTAACCACTGCACCATCATGGCTACTTTTGAGTCCATTGTTGTTGTTGTTAAGTGTCATCGAGTTGGTTCTAACTCACAGCAGCCCAGTATAGGGTTTTCAAGGAGCAACTGATGAGTTTAAACTGCCGACCTTGTGGTTCAAACTTACCTTGCCGTCCAGGCTTACCCTACAGCACCATACCAGAGGTCCTTTGAGTCCATTAATGCCCATATTCTTTAAAAAGCAAGTATCTTCCCTGAAGTTCCCTCCCCTTATCATAAACAAACAATCTTAATCAGTGGTTCTCATTCTAAGGAGATTGTATCCCATCCCCCATTTCTGGAGCCATTTTTGGTGGTCACAGTTGGTATAAGGAAGGGTTTGCTATTTGCATCAAGTAGGTAGAAGCCATTTATTCTTTTGTGCTGTGGGGTCAATTCCAACTCAGAGCAACACAATAGGGCAGAGTAGAACTTCCCCTTAGGGTTTCAAAAGCTTTAAGTCTTTGCAGAAACACTGTCATGTCTTTCTGCAGGGAGGAGCCATGGATTTAATACTGCCATTAGCTGCTGAGTGCTTAATCACTGGGCCATCAGGGTTCCTCTGGGCTAACTATAAGGGTCTGAGTCCAGCTCAAACCTTTTCGTGGGTGGTCTCGAGGGAGAGCACAAGGATGAGAAAATTATGTACAAAAGAAAAGAATTCAGGCAAGGATCAAAAGCTGATGGCTAGTGACCAAGTTTATTGAAAGCAAGAGGTTTTTATAGAGCAATTTCTGCAAGTCAGCATTGTTTTGCATAGTTACAAATTGATCTTTTACTGTGAGCCAGGCAACCTTGGAAAAGCTGCTTTCCCTGCATGAATGTCTTTTGCTATGAGTCATGTGAACTGGGAAAATTATCTTCCCTGTATTGAATAAGCAGGCTTTGTCTGGTTGTATTCAGACTCCAAGCTTTATGAAGCCTGGAAGCCTTCCGGCCCCCAACAGCTAACATCAATGTTGTTGTTAAGTGCCATGTAGTCAATTCCAACTCCTAGTGACCCCCCGTGCACAACAGAACAAAACACTATCATGTCCGGTGCCTCCTCTAATTGTTATGCTTAAGCCCATTGTACCTGCCACTGTGTGAGTCCATCTCACTGGAGGGCTTCCTCTTTGTCAGGGACGTTCCACTTTAGCAAGCATAATGTCTTCCAGGAACAAGTCCAAAGAACAAGAGATGTAGTCTCAACATCCTTCCTTCTAGGAAGCATTCTTCCCATCCAAATTTCTTTGTTCTTTTGGAAGTCCATTGTACTTTTAATATTTTTCTCCACATCATCACCACTGGACTAATAAATAATACGATGACAAATGGACAAAAAATTGACCTTGTCAAAGAATTCAGTTTGCTTGGATCCACAACACTAATGGAAGCAGCAATCGAGCAAAAATGTCAGTTTGAGTACTAAGGTGTCCTGACCCAAGCCATGATAGTTTCGATGATCTCATATGCTTTTGAAAGTTGGTCAGTGAACAAAAAAGACCATAGAAGAATCAATGTATTTGAATTATGATGTGGAGAAAAATCTTAAAAGTACAATGGACTTCCAAAAGAACAAAGAAATTTGTTTCAAGCTTTTTTTGCTTCCAGAAAACAGAGTTGTATCATCTGCATATCACAAGTTAGTGAGTCTTCCTCCAATCCTGATGCCATGTTCTTCTTGATTTACTCAGCATCTGTCTCACATCTTTCTAGATTTTAAATCATTCAGTATCCCTTTATTCTGTTTGAATGACTGCCTCTTATTCTATATACAGGTTCTTCATGAGCACCATTAAGTGTTCTGAAATACCTATTCTTCTCAGTGTTATCCATAGTTTGTCATGATCCACACAGTCAAATGCCTTTACCTAGCCAAAAAAGCACAAGTAAACATCTTCCTGTTAGTCTTTGCTTTTAGCCAAGATCCATCTGATATCAGCAATGATGTCTCATTCCACACCTTCTTTGGAATCTAGTCTGAATGACCGGTAGCTCCCTGTCAATGTGCTGCTGCCACCATTTTTACTTGCATGTGATATTATAATGATGTTGTTCAATGTCCACATTCCATTAGATCACCTTTTTTTGGAATGGGCAAAAATATGAAACCAATCCATTGGCCAGGGACCTGTTTTCCAAATTTCTTGATCTAGACAAGTGAGCTCCTCTAGTGTTGCATCAGTTTGTTTAAAGCTTTTAATTTGTAGTCCATCAATTTCTATAGCCTTGTTTCTCGCTAAAGCCTTCTGTGCAACTTGAACTTCTTTCTTTAATACCACTGGTTCTTGATCATATGCTACCTCTTGAAATGGCTGAGCACTGACCAATTCCTTTTAGTACAGTGACTCTGTGTATTCCTTCTATTTTAATGTTTCCTCCATCATTCAATCTTTTGTCCATAAAGCTTCAATATTGCAAGTTGAGGCTTGAATTTTTTTCTTCAGTTCTTTTGGCTTGAGAAATGCTGAGTGTGTTCTTATCTTTTGGTTTTCTAACTCCAAGTCTGTACACATTTCAGTATAATACTTTGTCTTCTGGAACTGCCCTTTGAAATGTTCTGTTCAGCTCTTTTGCTTCCTCATTTCTTCCAGCCACTTTAGTTTCTCTATGCTTAATGAGGGATATCAATGAGGGATATCACTGGTGACATCAGATGGGTCTTGGCTGATAGCAGAGAATATTAGAAAGATGTTTACCTGTGTGTTATTGACTATGTGGATCATAACAAGCTATGGACTATGTGGATCATAACAAGCTATGGACAACATTGCAGAGAGTAAGTATTCCAGAACACTTGATTGTGCTCATGAGGAACCTGTACATAGACTAAGAAGCAGTCATTTGAACAGAACAAAGGGACACTGAAATTAGGAAAGATGTGTGCCAGGGTTGTGTTCTTTCACCATAGTTATGCAATCTGTATGCTGAGCAAATAATCCGAGAAGCTGGATTATATGAAGAAGAACATGGCATCAGGATTGGAGGAAGACTCATTTATTAACAACCCCCGATAAGAAGATGATACAACCTTGCTTGCTAAAAGTGAAGAGGACTTAAAATATTTACTGATAAGGATCAAAGACCACAGCTTTCGGTATGGATTGTAGTTCAATGTAAAGAAAACAAAAATCCTCACCACTGGATATAATAAATAACATCAAGATTGAAGTTGTTGAAGACTTCATTTTGCTTGGAACAACCATCAACACTCATGGAAGCATGTATTGTAGTAAGCAAATCTGCACACCACCTCTTTAAAGTATTGGAGAACAAATATGTCAATTTGAGGACTAAAGTGCACCTGATCCAAGCCATGGTATTTTCAGTAGCTTCATATGCATGTGAAAGTTGGACACTGAATAAGGAAGACCATAAAGGAATTGATGCATTTGAGTTATGGTGTTGGAGGAGAATATTGAGGTGCCATGGATTGCCCAAAGTACAAACAATTCTGTGTTGGAGGAAGTGTAATCAGAATGTTCCTTAGAAGCCAGGCCAGACTTTGTCTCTCAGACTTCGGAAATATTATCGAGAGGGACCAATCCCTGGAAAAGGACATCATACTTGGTAAAGTGGAGGGTCAGCAAAAAAGAGAAGACCCCCTAACAAGATGATTGAAACAGTGTCAACAGCAATGGACTCAACTGTAGCAACAGTTGTGAGGATGGTACAGGAGCAGGCTGTGCATAGGGTGGCTATGGATGGGAACTGACTCTATTGCACTTACCAACAACACCAATGCTGAATAGCAAATCTCAGAGTCTCTTCTGACATCCATTTTTGTCTCTTCTTTCTACACAGGCATGTCTTTTTAGTGATATTTTGCTTTCTTTCTGTAGGATGCTTTTGATGTCATCTCATAACTCCTCTGGTTTTCAGTCATTAGTGTCTAATGCATCAAATCTGTTCTTGAGATGATTCTCTAAATTCAGTTGGGATATACTCAAGGTCATATTTTGCCTTATTTTCTTCAGCTTCAGCCGGATCTTGCACATGAGCAATTGATGACCTGTTCCACAGTCTGCCTTTGGCCTTGTTTTGGCTGCTGATATGGAGCTTTTCCTCTATCTCTTCCCACAGATGTAGTCAATTTGCCTCCTTTATAGTCCATCTGGTGAGGTCTACTTGCATAGTCACTGTATTGTTAAAAAAAAAAAAAAAAAAAAGGTATATGCAGTGACTAGGTCATTGATCTTGCAAAATTTTGTCATGTGATCTCCAGTGTCACTTCTATCACCAAGGCTATATTTTCTAATTACTGACCATTCCTTGATGTTTCCAACTTTCATATTTCAATCACCAGTAATTATCAATGCTTCTTGATTGCATGTTTGATCAATTTCAGACTGAAGAAGTTGGTAAAATTCAATTTTGTCATCACTTGCTTTAGTGGTTGATGAGTAAATTTGAGTAATAGTTATATTAACTGGTCTTCCTTGTAGGTTATCCTATCACAGACAGCATTGTACTTCAAGATAGATCTTGAAATGCTCTTTCTGATCATGAATATCATGCCATTCTTCAGTTTATTATTCCCAGCACAGTAAACCAAATGATTATATGAGTCAAAAATGACCCATACCAGTCTGTTTCAGCTCAGTCAATGCCTAGGATATTTATTTTTACTTGTCCCATTTTTGACAACTTCCAATTTTCCTAAATTCATACTTCCACATTCCAATTATTAATGGATGTTTGCAGCTGTTCCTTCTCATTTGGAGTTGTGCCCCATCAGCAAGTGAAGGTCCCAAAGCTTTTTTTGATTCACATCATTAAGGTCAATTCTACTTTGAAGAGGCAACTCTTCCCCAGTAGTATTTGGAGTGCCTTCCAACCTGAGGGGCTCATCTTCTGACACTCTATCTGACAATCTTCTGCTGCTGTTCATAAGGTTTTCAGTGGTTAACTGTTCAGAAGTGGTCCGCTTCTCCTTCTTCCGATTTTTAGTCAGGAAGTTTCATTGAAACCTGTCTACTGTGGGTGATCCTGCTGGCATAGCTTCTGGCATAATAACAACACACAATCCAAAACATTACAACCAAAGGACAGATGAGTGGTGGGCTGAAGCCAATAGAAGCTGCTAAGCTTCCAGTAATGCACAGGCACGACACAATACTCCTTACAACACAGATATCTTGCTCCAAATGTCTGTAGTGTTGAAATAGAGAAACCCTAGTCTAAATAAAAATAAGGTGCTAGCTGGTTAAAGTCTTCTGAAAATCTTCTAGCCAAATTCCTGACTAAACCCCTACTACTATACAGAAATATAGACTTCTGATGTGGCGCTGTGGATCAGCACTGGACTGCGAATTACAAGGTCGACAGTTCAAACCCACCAGCTGCTCCTTGGAAACCCTATACAGAGTTTCTATGAGTTGGAACCAATTCAATGGCACTTACCAACAACGACAACATACAGAAATGAATCTCTAAACTGAATTCCATGATTATCTTCCAAAACTAGGGGCCCAGCTTTACTCTTGTAACTCAGCAATTTATACCTGAGTTAATGGCTGCTCCCGTAAATTGTGAGGTTCTGGAATCTGGAATTGGGTCTTATGCATCTCTTTGTCCCTGGAAGCTTTCATAATGCCAGGGACACAGTAGGAGCTCAATAATTGCTCTGACTGATTCAACAAGGATCTTCTAGACACTTCCATAAACACACACACACACACACACACACTTTCACATAAAATTTCTCAGCCCCAATTATGGTATCTGATTTTCCAGTCTATCTAGTGTTACCTATTTCACTGTCTACTATGTGAACCAATTAAAATGTATTTTATGTCTCAGAGGCTTTTATGGAAAATAATATGGAAGGATTCAGTCATTCAACAAATATATATGTGTCAAGGACTATGCTAACTAAGTACTAGGATATAAATAGCAAAATATCATATATGCCACACTGTACTTACAGTCTAAGAGAGGGTAGGTACTACAATTGCATCTATAATAACCCACTGCCACTGAGCTGATTCTGATTCATAGAGATGGAGCAGAACTACTCCATAGGGTTTCTTTACTGGAGACTGTAAGTCATTATTGGTGCAGACAGCCTCATCAATCTCCCATAGAGCAGACCTTTTAGTTAACACAACACTTAACCTACTGGGCCACCAGTGCTCCTTGCAAACACTATGATAGTGGAAAAACAGGTGCTGGTGGGAACATACAGAAAGGTTATTTAACTTAGCTCTGGGAATGTTTGTTGTTGTGTGTTGTTGACTCCATTCCAGTTCATAATGACCCTATTGGACACAGTGACCCTATTTAAATCTTCACAGGAGCAGATAGTCTGATCTTTTCTCCCTGACTAGCTAGCTGGTAGGTTCATATCACTGACCTTTCAGTTAGCAGTCAAGCACTTAATCCATTGCAACAGGGCTCCTTAGGGGTACAATGGTTGAAGCACAGTTCTACTATGACACATGGGTGGGGAGGTCACCATGAGTTGAAGTCAAATCAAAAGCAACTAGTATTTTTTTGGTTTAACATAGTCCTATGAAGATCAGGAAAGGCTTTCTGTACAATAGGAAATCAAAATTTAGATGAAAAGACTGAAGAGTCAGCCAAGTAGAAAGAGTTGAAGAGGAGGAGGAGAGAATACAATGCTAGGCAAAGGGAACAAAGTGAACCAATAGTCAGGGGCCAGAGTGAACAGAGCATGTCTTGTCCTTGTGGTCGTGATGTGCCGTGGAGTCAGTTCCAACTCATAGCGACCCTGTACAGGGTTTCCAAGGCTATAAATCTTTACAGGAGCAGAAAGCCTCATCTTTCTGCTGGTAGTTTCGAACTGCCGACCTTAAGGTTTGAAGCCTGATTCGTAACCACTACACTACCAAAGCTCCTTAGAACATGTATTGTTGTTGTTAAGTGCCATCAAGTCGATTCCGACCCATAGCGACCCTGTATAGGGTTTCCGAGGAGCAGCTGGTGAGCTTGAACCACCAATCTTGCAGTTCAAATGACTCTGCAGTCTGACACATTAGCCCACAGTGTCACACCAGCATGTATAGGGATGTGTAATTTTTAAAGGTTGGAGCCAAGTGCAAAGGGGTGGGGAGTATATTCTAAATGTCCTCTAGCGATATACAGTATTATAGTTCTGGAAACATTCTCCAATAGATTTTTTTGTTTGGAAAAAATTGGTAGTGGAAAATATACCTCACATTGTATGTTATTTCTAACTTGGTTTACTTGTACTGTTATGTTTGTTTTATGAATTATGTGAAGAATACTGGGGAAGTTAAGCATTTGTGTCTCACCCTTTAATTCCTTCTCGTAGGTTTTTTTTTTTTTTCTTAAGGTTTTTATTGTGGATTGAGTGAAAGTTTACAGGGCAGATCATCAGTTTTACATTCAATAAATCATACACCTTGTTTCATTACAATGATTATAATCCCCTCCATGTACCATCAGTTTAACAGTATTTCTCTCTATTCACTTTAGCTCTTTTCTTAAAAAAAAAAAATACTCAGGCATATATAATAATTTACACGACTAAAAGGCACATTCTGCAAGCCTGCCTCCTGGCCACTAGCTCTCAGTCCCTCTCTTCCCATGAATCTAGAGTCCTCAGCTGCTCCGTCTCTCCCTGTCCCCATCTCTGCCTCCCTTCATAGGTTTTTTTGTTTTTGTTTTTAAGTAAAGTTTCCTTCACCCCTGCAAATTCTTTGGCTTCAAAAACTTCTTTTTGCTGACTGCCAAAATCTGGAATGTCTTGAGCATCTAAAGCTCCTTATCATTTGATTTTGTGCTGTTTTCCAGGCATGGGACCCTTCCCCGGAGTCATCGATCTGTCTGGAAGTGGTGGCGGTCTTTGTGAATACAGAGCCAGCCTCCTAAGTGGACATGGTTTTGCTGTGCTTGCTCTGGCTTACTTCAGATTTGAAGACCTTCCTGAATATTTGAATGATATGCAGCTGGAGTACTTTGAAGAGGCCGTGAACTTCATGCTCCAGCATCCAAAGGTGAGTCCTGGTGCTTGCGTAAATACAGACAGGAGGAGACAGGGGATAGAGGAGACTCAGGAATGGGTTCAAAACCCTACTAAGAAGCTTAGGACTGAAAGTATGCTGTGATACACAAGGGGTCCTTCAAAGGTTACTAGGAGTATTATTTCCATTTGCACTGGTCTCCCTAATCCCTTACATTTGGATTACTTAGTTTGTTGTATAACTCTCACTGTAGGTTACACAGGACCAGACTAAAGAGTTGGTAAAGAATTCTGGTTCTGCACCTACCAGATGATGGATCCTGAACAAGACATTTGCCCTCTGTGGGGTTTGGTTTTCTCATTGATAAGATTAATGTGTGGAGAGCGAGGGTCTGACTATAAAACGGCAATTTTGAGCCAGTTGTTTTTAACTGGCTCAAATTTAACTAGAGACTGGGTGGGTATGTGATGATATTAAGGAATCATCATTATTTTGTTAAGTGTTATATGGTATGGTTTTATAGGAAAATTCCTTATCTAGTAGTGGGAAAATTGTTGTTGTTAAGTGCCATCAATTCGATTCCGACTCATAGCGACCCTGTATAGGGTTTCTGAGGAGCATTGGTGGGTCTGAACTGCCAGTTTTGTGGTTAGCAGTCCAGTGCTTATCCTATGATGCCATACCAGGACCCCAGTGGGAAAATAGACTAATTGAAATAATTTGGTATGACTGTAAATGAAATGATACATATACTCTTTGCTATTATCTACACTTGAAGAGACCCAAACATTCTAATGTCAAAGAATAAGATGTTCGTATAGATGGTACCCACGTGACTGGGACCGGATGACTGGAAGATCAGAGCCCAACCAGGAGAAGAAAGAAGAGGGGGGAAGAAAGAAAAGAAAAAAAGAAGATAGAGCTGATTCAATCTGATGAACTTGACCTATACCTACGAATGCAGTGACTCAAAAGAGGCAACAAATCCTTACAGCAAGAAACATTCCCACCCCCTCCACACACAGAGTAGACAGAGATGGGCAACTTGGACATTGGATACCCAAATGGGGAGGGAGGGACTACAAAGGCAAGAAGTAACTGGCTTACAAGCTTTCAAGAAGGAACCTAGACCTAGGGGGCATGGAGGAAGGCAGAATCACCAGTGAGTACTATCCAATCTGTCTAGGTGGAGCTGATGAAATGAAATACAGATGGGTTACTCACGATACTGTAGTGAATAATGGTTATCAGGACTGATTATGAGGGTTGGAAGTGGCAAAGGTAGATGTTGTGTAGCAAGGAAGGGAGTGATTATCTCTCCAGTCTAGGAGCGGTCTCTGGGACCACCAACTGAGAAGAGCCAAGAGCAGGAGCCTACCCAGAGAAGCAGGGACACCTGAAATGGAGACAGAGATGATGACATGGAGGGATGAAGCGGCTGGGGACTTTGGATCCAGAAAGCAAGAGGGACTGTGGGCTGAAGACTGGGGGTGGGGTGGGGTGGGGGAAGTGTAGAGGACTGGTTTCTAGGATATCCCCTTTGGTCAGAAGATGATGCAGGGAGGGGATTGGAAGCATGGCAATGAGATGATATACGATGGAATGAATGTAAAACTAAAGTTCTCTCATGTACACTATCATATAATTAATTCACAATAAAACATTAAAAAAAAAGAATAAGATGTTTGGCAAGGTCTTGCAGATGCTCTAGTTCTGTTAGAGTTCAAGGACTGGTTTGTTAGCAGAGCTGCTAAAGCATCGATGTTCCTGAGCTGTGTAAACATTGGTTTTTTCAGGCGAGATAAGGCCCTGGAAAAAGTGAGAGGTCAATGGATACTACTAGTTCTGCCCTTTAACCTAAGCAAGAGGGGCTCCTGCCCTAGGCCCTTCATTGTAGCTGGCCGCACTCTGGCTGGTATTTGTCCACACTCCTGCCCCCAGGGCGAGAAGTTGCAGGGGCCCAAGCTGAGTGCCCACCTGGATGGTGCCCACCTGTGCTCAGGGGACTGTAAAACCCTGAATTCTCTCTCTGATTAGCTCTGAGCCTCATTCCAGGCCTCCTCACTAGGTCCAGTAGTGTGTATGCCCATAGGCCTTTGTGTGTAGACTGGAATGCCAAGGTACCTTTGTGTGGGTAATGGGCCAGGAATAAGGTGGCTGGGGTCAGGAGCTGGCTCTCCCCAGTGCCTTGTTGTTCTGAGATTTAAAAATTGAGTCCTTCTAAGTCAACATGCAGGTAGCATTTATCAAGGTAGGAAAGTAAAATATATTTTAATTGAACAATTTGATTTATGACTTTTAGATATTTGTTGTTGTAGTTAAGTGTCATCAAGTCGATTCTGACCTATAACGACCTGTATAGGGTTTCTGAGGAGCAGCTGGTGAGCTTGAACCACCGACCTCACAGTTCAAACAGCTTTTCAGTCTGGTACATTAGCCCACAGTGCCACACCAGGAGTAGCAGTCAAGTATATAGGTCTTCATGTGTACTATGGGGCCCCTTCAAAAAGTTCATGTAAAATTTTTATTATCTTTTAATTCCATTTTCCATGAACTTTTGGAAGCTCCCTATATACTCTTGACCCAAATGCTTGTTTTACAAATCAATTACAATTGGTTAATTGGTTTGCTTATTAGAAGACTTATCTGAACTGGACTGATATATAAAGAAAGTAAATAACATTTGATAAAGCTACTTAGGAAATACAAAATCATTGTTATGTCTTCCATGTATAAATACTATGAGGTTCTCTTTTTTCTGTTCATCAGGTGAAAGGCCCTAACATTGGGCTTCTTGGCTTCTCCAAAGGAGGTGACCTGTGTCTCTCAATGGCTTCCTTCTTGAAGGGAATCACAGCCACTGTACTCATCAATTCCTGTGTGGCCAATACAATCACTCCCCTGCATTACAAGGATATGACTATTCCTAGTCTTGGTACTGAGCTAGGGAAACATATAATCACTGAGTCAGGCCTTATAGATTGTATAGATATTTGGGATAATCCACTGGAGGAACCAAATTGCCAAAGTCTCATCCCATTGGAAAAGGCCCAGGGGCCCTTCTTGTTTATTGTTGGCAAGGATGATCATAACTGGAAAAGTGAATTATATGCTCATATAGCTTCTGAACGATTACAAGCCCATGGGAAAGACAGACCCCAGATAATCTGCTACCCAGGAGCTGGTCACTGTATTGACCCACCTTATTTTCCTGCTCGTCTAGCCTCAATTCATGCAGTTTCAGGCCAAGCAGTGTTCTTTGGAGGTGAGCCACAGCCTCACTCAAGAGCACAGGTAGATGCCTGGCAACAGATTAAAACTTTCTTCCATAAACATCTTGATGGTAAAAAATCTGTTAAGCACAGCAAAATATAACATTATAATTATAGACCATATACTATTAATAAAGCATGTATTCATAACAAGTGTTGACTATTTCATAATTCTTAGGAACCTTCGTGTAATGAAGCCACCTTCTTGGTTTCTTTGTTAGGTACAAGGATTCTGAGCCTTTGCAGTATAGCTCTCTTTACTGCTGCCACACACATCCACACGAGCTTCATGCCGTGTACAGGTTGTCCCTACTCTTATTTGTAAGACCAACCTTAACTTTAAGTAGGAAAAAACTAAGGAATACTGGCCCTCTCAAGATCCCTGGGTGGTACACAGAATTTACACTGCTCTATTGACCTGGTATGAGGTAGCACAGGAGGCAATCACATATCTCTGCGAAGAAATTTGGAAGACAACTATCTGGCTGACTGATTGGAAGAGATGCGTATTTGTGCCCATTCCAAAGAGAGGTGATCCAATGGAATGCGGAAATCATCAGACAATCTCTTTGATATCCCATGCAAGTAAAGTTTTGCTAAAGGTAATACAGAAATGGCTACAGTCATACATTGACAGAGAAGTTCCAGAGGTTCAAGCCGGACTCAGAAGAGGCCATGGAACGAGGGATATCATTGCTGATGTCCAATGGATCTTGGCTGAAAGCAGAGAATATCAGAAAGATGTTTACCTGTGCTTTATTGACTACGCAAAGACTTTCGATTGTGTGGATCATGACAAGCTATGGACAACATTGAGAAGTATGAGTATTCCAGAACACTCAATTGTGCTCATGAGGAATCTGTACCTGGACCAAGAAGCGGTTGTTTGAACAGAGCATGGGGACACTGAATGTTTTAAAATTAGGAAATGTCACAGACCATGCAGACTCGGTCAGGAGTTCGAGGCCCTCTGGGCCCAAGTGTTGCAGATCATACAGGCCGCAGGCTCTGAGGAACAAACTCTAGCCACTTAGCAGACATAGCAAACTGTCTTTCATCTTAGTATTCAGTTATGTTTGTTATTAATTTCATACATGAGCCCTTGATATCCACAGATAAATGTAAAAATCTCCTAAAGCCGAAACTGCAAAATTCTAAAGGCAAAGTTTTCCTCAAAGAATTCACTCAAGGTAAATGGGTGTCTTCCCGGGTCTTTGTTCTAAGGACAAAAGGACATCCTCCCTAAAGTGTTTCCAGGTGCAGCCCTATTCACCCAGGTGTCTCTTTTCCTGAAGAACCTGGCCTGGGCAGCCGACACAATAGGACTCCTCCCAATCCTCCTTTTCCTTCCCCCATTTGAGGCTAGGTGCTAAAAGGTATGTTAATTAAGCTTGAGAAACCAAGTTGCGGTTGTGAGATTCGAACCTGCGAAGTACCATGTAAAGCTGCCTGAATGTCTGGAAAATTACGTATGTTAGCTGTACCTTGTCTTAGTCCCTCCCAGCTTTGTGTAAAGTACCTCCCCTAAATAAACGGAGGCGCAGGCCGAACCAGGGGTGCATTACGGCTGGCAAGGTGTGCGTTACAGCTTGGAGAGCGTGCTATACAGCTGACTAGGCATGCGTTGCTGACCAGCTAGCAAAGGGAACGTACTGCTTGCATAGTTAAGATGTTTGCTAGGCGGGATCTTACAGCCCTCATGGCTAATATGTTCACCACGCCGGATCTGCTGGACTCCAGTAATGCATCCACTCTGGTTTTGGGGTGTCTCTTTGTCTCTCTCTTTGTGTCTCTGTGTCTCCTCTTTTGCTATCCCTATCGCCGCCAGATATCCCCTGCTCGTGAACCAAATACCTATGTTGAGGCAGGTCCCCGGCAAGGAAAGGTGTGCAACAAGGTTGTATTTTTCACCATACTTATTCAACCTGCATGCTGAGCAAGTAATCCGAGAAAGCTGGGTTATATGAAGAAAATTGTGGCATCAGGATTGGAGGAAGACTCATTAACAACCTGCGATATGCCGATGATACAACCTTGCTTGCTGAAAGTGAAGAGGACTTGAAGCATTTACTGATGAAGAGATATAATCCTTTGGTATGGATTATATCTCAATGTAAAGAAAACAAAAATCCACACCACTGGACCAAACAACAACATTCTTATCAACGGAGAAAAGATTAAAGTTGTCAAGGACTTCATTCTTCTTTGATCAACTATCAACACTCATGGAAGCAGCAGTCAAGAAATCAAATGATGTATTGCATTATGCAAATCTGCTGCACAAAACCTTTTTAAAGCGTTGAAGAACAAAGATGTCAGCTTGAAGACTAAGGTGCATCTGACCCAAGCCATGGTATTTTCAGTAATCTCATATGCATGTGAACGCTGGACAGTGAATAAGGAAGACTGTAGAAGAATTGATGCTTTTGAGTTATGGTGTTGGAGGAAAATACTGAAAGTGCCATGGATTGCCAAAAGAACCTATAGATCCGTTTTGGGAGAAGTGCTGCCAGAGTTCTCCTTGGAGGCCAAGATGGCCAAACTTCGTATCTCATACTTCAGACATATTGTCAGGAAGGACCAGTCACTGGAGAAGGATGTCATGTTTGGTAAGGTGGAGGGTCAGAGAAAAAGAGGAAAACTCCAAACGAGATGGATTGGACAAGTGGCAGCATTGATGGACTCAAGCGTGGCAACAGCAGTGTTTCATTCTGCTGTGCATAAGGTTGCTATGGGTCAGTACTGACTCGATGGCACATAACAACAACAACATTAACCTGGTGTGGAGCTGTAGGGTAAGCACTGGACTGCTAACTGCAATGTCAGCAGTTCAAACCCATCAGCTGCTCCTTGGAAATCCTATACAGGGTCACTATTAATTGGCACTGACTCAACAGCACCTGGAGACCTGGTGTGGCTCTGTGGGTTAATGCGCCAGACTGCAAAGCTGTTTGAACTACAAGGTCGGCGGTTCAAGCTTACCAGCTGCTCCTTGGGCACCCTATACAGGGTCACTATGGGTCAGAATCAACTTGATGGCACTTAACAACAACAACAACAGCACTTAACAAAACAGCAACATTCATTTAAAGGGAGCTCTGCTGTGGCGCTGTAGGATAAACACTGGACTGCTAATTGCAGTCAGTGGTTCAAACCCACCAGCTGCTCTTTGGAAGTCCTATACAGGGTTGCTGTGACTCAAAACTGACTCAATGGCACTTAGCAACAATGGTCTAAAGGGAGCGCTGGTGTGGCACTGTAGGATAAGCACTGGACTGCTAACCAGAAGGTTGGCATTTCAAATCCACCAGCCACTCTCTGGAAACCCTATACAGGGCTGCTAAGAGTCAGAACTGATTCGACGGTACTTAACAACAAAATAAACTAACCTAAAGAGCCCTAGTGTGGTGCTGTAGGCAAAGCACTAGACTGGTAACCACAAGATCAGCAGTTCAAAGTGACCAGTCGCTTTGGAAACCCTATACAGGGTCATATAAGTCGGAATCAACTAGATGGCACACAACAACAATATTAACGTAAAGGTTGGTGGTTTGCACCCACCCAACAGAATAAAGGCTTTGCGATCTGCTTCTGAAAAGATTACTGCCAGAAGAGCTGTAATGGACCAGTTCTCTGGAATACAAGGGGCTGCCATGAGTTGGAATGGATTCAACAGCAGCATTTTATTTCCCCTTCAACTCTCAGTTACTGACATTGCTTCAGCTTTATGTGCCCGTTCTGAAGACGGTGCTTCGGAATTGCTCTGGAATCCCATATAGCCATGGAGTTCTACATGCCATGTCTGAACTTTGGGAACCTGCTGCTCATCTGAATCCTTAAAGGAATGGACTCTGCCTCTTTCTTGTCAGTACACCTTTCCCTGAACCTCAGTCTGAAGATTGAGGGTGTCAATCCTGCTGATACGTTTCCTCTGTTTATGCTCTGTATGGATTCCTACTCTCTGTATGATTCTATCTGCCTAGATGACAGCCTTGATATTGTATTAACCATCTTTAGGAGGCCTTGCATGTGTTAAGGAGGCCTGGGGGTGTGGTGAGTTAAGTGTTAGGCTTAACAGCAAATAATCAGCTATTCAAACCTACCAGTCCCTCTGAGGTAGAAAGACAAGGCTGTGTAGTCCAGTCTCAGAAACCCTATGGAGTAGTTTTTCTCTGTCAAGAACACTCTTAAGAGTCAAGAAACCAAACCAAGGGTTACATTAGGAAAATCGGATGCACAAGACCTCTTTAAAGTATTCATGAGCAAAGATATCAGATTAAGAACTAAAGTATAACCAGAGATGAGAAATCCCCACTTGAAGGGATGAGCTGACGAGCCTGGAACGGTGAGAAGAACAAAAGATACGTCTCGAATGGAAGACCTACGGGAAAAACACGACACAATGCAGACAGATGGACTGCTATTACGGGAACAAACAGGCCGCTCCACTAGGAGACATTGGGGCAGTTGGTCGGGTCCCACCAACGTAGCCCACCCCCCCCCAAAACTGAGACTCGGTGGAGATGCATGCTCGGATTGGTAAACACACGCATCACTGTTGGGGAGAAATGGGATAAAAGCAGCAATGAAGCGGCGAGCTAAGCCTCACAATATTCAGAGGGCTTCTGTGGACCCAGTTGGGGACCTGGCAGTGCGAGGAGACCCGAGGATTCCTGGGCCCAGAGTCCGTGACGTGGCCACGGAGGACTCAAGTGGAGAATGGAGCTGCCGGTTGATGGGATGAGAGGGCATGTGCACAAGAACACTCACACTTGCAGATGACACCCACGTGACCGGGACTGGATGATCAGAGCTCAACCAGGAGAAGAAAAAAAGGGGGGCGGGGGTGGGGGGGGAGAAGAAGACTGAGCTGATCCAAGCTGATGAACTTGACCTATGCATATGAATGCAGTGACAAAAAAGAGGCAACAAATCCTTACAGCAAGAAACATTCCCACCCCCTCCACACACAGAGTAGACAGAGAGGGGCAACTTGGACATTGGATACCCAAATGGGGAGGGAGGGACTACAAAGGCAAGAAGTAACTGGCTTACAAGCTTTCAAGAGGGAACCTAGACCTAGGGGGCATGGAGGAAGGAAGA